AGCGTCATGATAGAACACAACCTTCACCTGGGGAGAAGTACAGAAGTCATCCGGGGCGAAGCCCCGGAAATTATGATATAACTAATGACATAACCGTATAGGGATGATTAAATGAGGCAAATATAGCAGTGACATTCAAAAGAAGCTCAAAAAAACCGAAGGATTGCGTTTTTATGGCCTTTTTTTGTTGAGAAGGTTTTTATTTGAAAATTCAATCAAAAACTAGGGCAAAATTTCTCAATTAACCTTTCTCTGAATGCGGTTGAATGTTGGAAGTTCATTGAAGCCGCTAGAGTTCAATAAAAACGAAAAACTGCGCTCAAATCTTGCGCAAACAGTCGCCATATGAATGCTGGTCTATCTCGTTATGAAGTGATTTTCAAGACCCGCGACGTTGTCAGTGCTCCTGGCCGTCTCATGAGGATCACAACGATATATAATTTTGCAGGGTTTCGTTGAGACCCTGCGAAGATCCACGACCAGAGCCAAATGCCCCGTCGGCTCTGGTCTGTCTCCGCTGCTCGTCTGCGCCTCCGCGCGCTGCGCGCTACCTCGCTACCTCAAATGCGGGGCGCGGGGCATTTGGCTCTGGTACCCTTTTCTTCGTTGTTCGGAGCCCAATTTCGATAATCTATATATCATATTGAAGCTTTTAATCTCTATTTTCACGCTGACAACGTCGCAAGACTCCTTTTTAAGATTTGAGCGAGAAATCCTCGAAAAACGGCTTTTTCGAAAACCTCTTGTTTTTTCTCCAGTTTAACTTTTTTCATTCGGTTTTTTTGTACATTCGATAGGTCTTGTTTCTGTCTATGATGTAGACAACGTCGCCGAGCTTACTTCTTTGCTTATGCCGGTTTTTTTTGTAAATACAAAAAAATGCGTTTTTCTTTACCTTGTTCTCTTCCTGTGCTTTTGCAGCGAATTTTTTCCAGCTTAGACGATACTTGCTCAGAATGATGAGCGGAAGAATCCAGACAACGTCGCAGCGTACGAAACGACTATGCGGGGGTGAAAATTTAAAGGACGCATCAAAAATCAGATTGGCGTCGATGTGCAACACAACTTTGCAGACATGTTTAATATGTTCAATTCAGTTGTTGACAAATTCTTCTTCTTTCGGTCTCCCAACTAATGCCGCAGCTAAACAGCGCTTTTTTTGACTGGAAAAGAACTTTGTTGTTGTTGCCACCCAATTTTACCGGCAATCCTGGAGACGAAACTCTGCGTAGGAAACCAACAAGTTAAGATTTCAGATTTGGTGATGTGCTAAACTCTGCTTTATATGAATTTTCTGAGTTTCTAATTTAATTTGTATCTCTAAATTTCGCCTATTTTTCTGAAACAACCTTCACTTTTTATAGGGAGCAAGAACTCAAACAACTATCACTTTCTAGCCCTTGTCTCTTGACTATCGAAGGTATGGGCTACGGTGTACTTGGGGGGTCCACTACCCGAAACTACCAAAATCTGACAGGGGTCCATTTTGCCTGTCCGCTGCCTTTAACGATCAAACAGTGTATACATACTTTACGGACACCCTGTAGTTCTTAGTGACTGTAAGTGTTCCGATATCGGTTATAAAAATTTTATCGATACTAATCATAAACATGTAATTACTGGGTAATTTACAAATAGTAAAAGATCCATCACTCAGATCAATAATGGAGAAAGGATGTAATTATAGAATAAATAACTTTATTAATAAAAGGGATGTTTGTGAATGGATCCATGCTACTATAGAAAATATTTTGACTTAATATTATAAACATTACAAAGTAAATAATAATAAAAAAGAAATTATTAGAAATTACCTAAAAGAGGCTTTCCTCAGGAAATTCAAACCCCTACTATCTGGAGATAACTTAAAAGGAAAACAGACCTACAATATTAACAATAAACATAATCGAAAACTGTTTCACAATTTTGTTATTCGTCCTCTAGACAAAGCAAAAAATAATTGTGGTATGATATGCTTGAAATTCTATCTTCTTACTTTATTGAAAGAAATAGGAGTTGATTATAACGGAAGAAGAGAAATCAGTTTTACTGACAATGATACTTATGAATTATATAATATAGAAACCTGTAATACATATATCAGGTTGTCCCATAAATTCCGTCCGTTTTAAATTTTAACCGCAATAAATCATGAACTTCTTGATCCTAGATAGGTTTCAAGGTACCGTTCGATAGAGCAAATCAAGCTCTACAAGAAGGCTATCTCGCTTTTGCATCAGCTCTGATCCATCTCGAGTCAAGGCGAAAACTAAAAAGATCCAACTGCCCGAAAAATCGAGAGAAAATCATAACTCCGTTTAAAAAAATTCTGTAAAAATTCTAACTTGCTCGTGTAAACAGTATCCATATAACACATTTATATGCGCTATTGCCGTGTTTTTTCCTTGGCTAGAAATCAAGAAAATGGAGATTTTCACGCTTATGCCAAAGTGGTGCTGTGATGTCCCTACATAGATAGTTGTATACTACTAGCCTGTAGAAGTACGAATGTGAATTTTCAGCTCTCTACAGGCACTAGCTTTCGAGAAATATGGATTTTAGCGTAAGGCATCCAACTAAGGCAAGCTGTATTCGATATTTCTCGAGAACCAAAGCTTGTAGAGAGCTGAAAATTTATGCTTGCACTTTTACAGGCTAGTAGTATACAACTATCTATGTAGGGACATCACAGCACCACTTTGGCAAAAGCGTGAAAATCTTCATTTTCTTGATTTCTAGCCAGGGGAAAAACACGGCAATGGCGTATATAAATGTGTTATATGGATACTGTTTACGCGAGCAAGTTAGAATTTTTACAGAATTTTTTGAACGGAGTTATGATTTTTTCTCGATTTTTCGGGCAGTTGGATCTTTTTAGTTTTCGCCTTGAAACTCGAGATGGATCAGAGCTGATGCAAAAGCGAGATAGCCTTCTTGTAGAGCTTGATTTGCTCTATCAAATGATACCTTGAAACCTATCTAGGAACAAGAAGTTCATAATTTATTGCGATTGAAATCCAAAGCGGACGGAACTTATGGGACAACCTGTTACATAGACATCAGAACTTTTGTGAAGTAAATAAGTTGCAAATTTGGGATATGATAAAATTCCAACCATATGTTGTCTCCCGAAATTACACAAAACTCCAGTAAAATTCAGATTTATTACAGGAGCAACTCATAGTAGTATTAAACCTTTAGCAATAGAACTCAAACTAATTCTTAGCTTTGTCAAAAAACATTTCATAAATTATGTACGAGCAATCAAAACTCGTAACATGAACTTCATTGGTTACTAGGCTATAGATGATATTAATATTAGTAATAAGTTAATGGACCTGAGACAGACTAATGTGAAACTTTTTTCTGCAGATTTTACAAACATGTTTACCAGCTTACCTCATAACGTTATAAAAAATAATCTTAAAGAAATACTAGTATTATGCTATAAAAATGCAAACAAACATTTGTAGCCTATAATAACTACAACAGAATATATCACACAGATTCAGATACTAGTAGTAACTCACGTACAAGATTCTATCGTATCACAGATGTACTTTACTTAATAGATTACATACTAGATAATAGCTATTGTAAATCTGGTAATCTAATATACAAACAAAAGGTAGGTCTTCCACAGGTGGAACACCTACCTTTAGTTTTACCATCTACCAGCTTATTATGATGCTTCATTGGAGATTTATGCCAGGTGAGTAACGGCCAATTTTTCAATGTTCCTAAAAAGTGCGGTTACACCATTTAGAAAGCTTCGCAATCTTGTGAACTGCTGAGTATTGAACTCAGCGTCCATAAAAACCCTATTACAAAAGTTTTCACATTTTTTCTGGAAATTTCTGAAACGGCAGCTTTTTCCACATTGACGCCATATGTTTCAAGTTTCTAACGTAATCCTAAAGTAATGAAGAGCGATGGGTGATTCGTTCTACACTGCAAATCTAAGTTGAAGCCAGCTCTAAAAAGGTACCTGAAGCAAGGCAAAAGACTTCATGAGAAGAGAGATATTAACGATCAAACAGTGCATACATACTTTTGGGACACCCTCTATATCTAGTAAGATCAAATTAGCAACAGAGTATATAAGAATAGCTAGAACTTGTTCAGAATTTGAGGACTTCCTCGACAGAATACGTCGGTTGAAAAGCATACTTGAGTATAATGTTTATAACTATTTGACTATTCTTGCTTGCGTTACTAAGCTTATTAATAAAAATAGTTATATCTTCTTTAAATATAATCTGATAGATAATAATAAAACCATATTAAGTACCGTTAGGAGAGTTTTGGTAGAATCTTTCCACGTACCATAAAAACATATACATACTTGCATACATCTATACACACAAACATGATAGAAACACAAACACAAACATATACACATAAACTATACACATACACATACACATAAATAGACACCATACACACACATACACATACATATACACATACACTTATACACATACACATACACATAAATGTACACATACAAATACACTTATATATACACCATATACATAACACATCATACATACATATAATATATACACATACACATGCACATACACATACACATACACAACATACATATACATACACATACACATACACATACACTTACACATACACATACACATAAATATACACATACAAATACACTTACATATACACATATACATACACATACACATATAAATGCACATACACATGCACATACACATACACTTACACATTCACATACACACATACATACACATACAGATACAGATATACATACACATACACATACACATACACATACATAACATACATTCACGACATACATATACACATATATTCACATTCCACACTCTGCTTTTTGGAGGTCAATGTCAGTATTGATCAATGCTCTGCTCCAATCCAACAATGACGCAACATTTGGCTGCGTAGAAATCACATTTTATGACGCGCCAAAACTTGGCTGAGTATCATTTTATTTGCAGGCAGTTGATACGAAATGCGATTTCCGTCGTATTCGCCCCTTTGCGACCGAACAATGGATGTTTCGACTGGACAAGGATAAGGTAAGTATTTTATTATTTTTTACTAACCAAAGCCCTCCCTCCTTACTGATGAGTTCCGGGGAGGGCTAATTAACAATTTGGTATCCGTCTAAGGGTAGGAACGAAACGGATGTTCCTTTTTTTATTAGTTTTTTATTTTAATCTATACTTTTCATATAATTTTTTGGTCCTTTTTTTGTTTTCTTTCCTTTTGTTTTTTTCTATTTGTAAGCGTATGAAGCAGATAAGAGGATAATTATAGCCTGTGCCTTATAATCCTTTACTCAATAGATAGAAGACATCCAACTGTATCGTCGACTCTAAAAACCGTGACGACGGTCTGCAGTGCGGCCAGTGCGCGCCGCACGGCACTGCCGCTTTATCGTAGGGCAATCTTGCTTCTCTGCAGTGTAGGCTCCCTGCGGTAGCCATGAAAGTTCCTGCAAGCAAAAGAGATGCAAAAAGAAAAAGAAAAACCACAAGAAATCACCTTCTCCACGTAATTTGGGCGAATCACTAGGTGGCAGTGCCGTGCGGCGCGCACTGGCCGCACTGCAGACCGTCGTCACGATTTTTAGAGTCGACGATAACATCAAAGGCTTTCCATTCGGTTACCACGATCCAGCATCATTCAAGTCTGCTTCTGAACTTTGCATTCAAAATCTAGCCAAAGAGCTGATCTGTGGAAAAGGAACTTTGACTCTAGGATTATAGGAGAGAGGGAGATCATGTCGAAGCACGAAAAAACGAAGCTGGGACAAAGCATGAAAGATGAAAAGCGTAAGCGGATACATCAGAGAATAGTAAGAACTTTACAATTAGCGCTTGGAACAAAAGCGGTTAGCAGCGTCTAGCGGCCTGCGGCGGGCAGATTACGGCTACCGGCGTGGTATGATATCATCGATCAGTGCCCTTTATCAATGATAATAAACCTGTAATGTTTATTGAGTCTGTGCACAAGGAAGCTTGACTAGCCGTTAATATACATACTGTCGACCCTTCATAAAATCCTGACAGGGAATTCGTGTTTGAGCCCATTCGAAAGCGCGAAGCCTAAAACACTCAAAAAGTCCAAAAGCTATAAAATCAATGCAAAAATGTTTCGACAAGAGCCAGGAAGTTAGGTCGCCAAAACTGCGAACGCGATGCAGGCAAACCGTCACCATTAGCGATGTTATTAGTGTTCTTTACAAGTAAGGCAGGCACCCATAGGAACCCGGGTAGGTAATTTCAGGAATTTTTTCCATGATCGTATTTCGTCACACTAGACTCGGGCTTACAAGAACTCAAAATTTCTTATAAAAAATCATTTCGCAGATAAGGAGTCTAGATTTATGGGGGTGGTGCAGGAGGAACCAAAGAGTCGCAATCCATATCTGGAGATAATAAGGGCGCTAGCATCGTGGAGAAGAGTTAGCTGCCAGCCAAAAAAGATTGCAACTGTCCAAGCTCCGCCTATCTTATGCACCCAGGATTTCGCCAAAACTTCGCGAAATACAAAAACTACTGGAAAATGTCAAGAATAAAGTTCTGGGGGAGAAGAAAACGGATTCCTGACTCATTTGAGAAGGCAATTTTTTAAATGGCCTTTTGGTTCTTTAATTGCAATCCGAAGCATCGAAACGATTTTTCCTATTTTAAATTCTTTTTTAACTGCAGTGTAAAAATTTGAAATAGCCAGAAGTAGCATCGAAATTATAGAACAGGGTCAAGCAAGAGGTGGGGCACACGATCGCTGGTTACGCCCCCTCCTCCCTTCATTGCTGTCTTAATAAGACCCCCCCCCCCCTAAATTATATACCTAAGATAGCATGTGAAGGCCCTGTCAAACAAAATGGGCACCATATCCATGGTACGCCTTGTGCGTATTGAATAAATAAATAAATAAATAAATAAATATCCTTAATTAGCATGTCAATTAACCCCTGCAGACAAAGTTTGAGCGAATTCTGAAGATTCAAGATACTAGGCTACCTAAGTGAAATGGTCATTTTCCAACATTATTAACATTGTTTCAAAGGTGAATTAGCTGGCCGTTTTTGCACTCAAGACAAAGCACTACTCCTTAATTGTCCATCTCAGAAATCCCGCTTCAAGAGATCTTCAAAATGCGAAATTAGAAGCCAACCAAAATTTCATTTCTCCTATTTTTCGCATTTAATGGCTGTGCTTTCACCAAATATTTCTCAGAACTAAGAAAACGAATCAGACTCAAATCATTCCTGTGAAAACTAGAAGATCTAGGCTATCGATCCATATAAATAGGATGCCACAGCTTTCAAGGGAGTGTGCCACACCTCATTAACTTAAGAAAAAAACATTTTTAGCGGACAGTTTTAGACGAATCGATAGCCTAGACCTCGCAGATTTCATAGGACTGATTGGAGCCTGATTCGTCTTCTTAGTTCTGAGAAATATTTGGTGAAAGCACAGCCATTAAATGCGAAAAATAGGAGAAATGAAATTTTGGTTGGCTTCTAATTTCGCATTTTGAAGATCTCTTGAAGCGGGATTTCTGAGCTGGACAAAGAAGGAGTAGCGCTTTGTCTTGAATGCAGATAGCTAATTCACCTTTGAAACAAAGTTAACCATGTTGGAGTATGACCATTTCACTTAGGTAACCTAGTATCTTGAATCTTCAGAATTCGCTCAAATTTTGTCTACAGGGATTAATTGACATGCTAATGATATGATAAGAATATCATGTTATCACTAATATCAGATTACCCAACTATGACCCCCTCCCCTTTGATTCCTCAATACGATCCCCCAGGTGTGGCGTGCCACACCCCACGCTTGGCCCTGATTATAAATCATACAAAAAACACATTTTCACGCAATAATATCATGTCAGTTTTGGTTTAGTTACAAGGTGAAAGTTGCACGGATGATGTAGCGAAAAACATTGTTACAATTAGAAATCACAAAATATAAAATGAAGTACTTTTCTGAATGATGCACACCATCAGATAACAACATATCACTGGTGAATTACCCTAATCCCTAGAGTATAAGGCGCACTTTTGTGCACCGCGCGCGGGCTTATTTGCGACGTCGCAAAGCCGCCAAACCTTGTGTGCAACTCTTAAGCGCATTTGTCGCGCTTTTCGCGCGACGGGTATTGTACATAGGTACGAATCAATCACTACTGTGGGTCATCGACCAACTCCCTACAGCCCCTCACGTTCCGGAGGGGATGCGCTTGCCGGACGTCCCTTATTTCACGGGGGCAAACACTGATCCAAGTCCTTTCGCGGTTTGGCTGCGTTGCTTTGAAGACGTACAAAACATGCGTACGGTCGCGCTTACGCCAAAACTCAAAGCATACTACCTCATAGGCTGTCTCGATGGGGCTGTGCGCGATAAAATCGACAGCTGAACGCCGAGCAGCGCCAGGACTACGACACTGTAGTCGCACACCTCGCCAATTACTATGACGGTCCGCATCTGCGTAATTTAGCGCGTAGATCGCTGTCGGTTTGCAAAAGGTCCCCGGGGAAACGGCAGCGTGCTTCGCGAATAGGATTTTCCAGTTAATACGCGCGGCCAACCCTGTGCAAGACCCGCAGCAAGAGCGCATGCTTGAGGAATTCATTGCGCGATTACGCCCAGACATTGGATATCAAGTTGAGCTCTCGGAGCTCGCGAAGTTTCAGCAAGCCCTAGCGAAGGCACGCATATTAGAAGAGTTATTCCCCGTCTAGGTTCGCATTCGCAATGCCCACCAACACAAGCAGAACGTAACCTGGAGACGGCATCGCTCGAGCTCAAAGTATGCGATCGCCTTCAAACCGCCTGCTCGCTCGGTTCAAACACGGGGGAAGTGGAGGCTTGGAGCATTTCAAATAGGCCTGGGTACGCGTGGACTACCCATAACGCCTAGGTACTGCTCCAGATGCAAACCACTTGGAAATGCTTGCTACCCCGTCACACTCCGTTGTTTTGGACTGGGATTGCGCCGGTCGCCGTTCTAACAAGTGCATAAATTGAGGTCCCGAGCACGAACAATTCGGCGCTGTAGCTGCTTCTTTCTCGGCGGTTGCCGCGTCCTTTTATGCGTAAGGTCCGTGGATATGTGAGGCACGCTACGGGCAGAAAACCAGAAGCTGCGTCACTTGCCTGAATTTGGTTGCTAACTCACGTAACACAATCCCAAGTAGTGTAGTGTGCACGTCAAACGGTCTAATAAACTAACCATTCCTTCTTTTGTTTCGATTAAGTCCGGGACGGACTTTGAAAGGTAAGGGAGGTGTAAGGGCATGCGATATCATGCTCTGATTCTTTCACGGTCCTGAGTCATCTAATTGAGTGCGTGGGACTCGAGGAGAGGCTAGGAAGCAGGGACGCTGTGCGGCCCGGAACTCACCTCTGGTTGCTGTTTGCCTCGTCAACTACAACACCTGACTCCGCGAATGGATACACTCGTATTCATATACCACCGGCTGTTTCAAAATCTAATGAAGCTTTCCACCTTATTGCGTATCCTCTCTGCGGGCGTTGCTCTTACTACAGTTTAACAAGAGAATTGAAAGCTTGTTGTTTTGCTTATTTGGACGATATCATCATTGCCAGTCATACCAATGATAATCATTTCCTTGATTTGGAAGAGGTTTTTCAAAGAATGCTAGTTTTGAATCAAAACTAACGCCAGAAAATTGTTCATTCATTCAGCAAGAAGCATGTTCAAGCTTACTTTGTTCAGCGAGGTTCAGCACTTTGTTTCCTCTCAAATCCTAATAGTAAATCATCCAAAACGCGTTAGAACGCACTTATAAACTTGTTAATCAGATGCACACAAAGAATGCTCGCGTCTCTTAGTTAGACAGAATGAATGATAGCTATCTTTTATGCGACTACTATTTTTCTTCGCAAGCGCATTGTATCTTTTATAATCTTATCAATGTCCGTTTCCTCACATCTCGTAAAGGACATTCGTCGACGACTGCCCCGACTCGTACAATTGCACCACCTTGGGCATGCCTGTTTGGAGCCTTTCCCTTGACTACGTTGCAGCGCACGGGGACATGGTAGCTCGTAGCATCGCTGTCTTTTAACCTTCTGCTTGTGTTGGTGGGCATTGCGAATGCGAACCTAGACGGGGAATAACTCTTCTAATATGCGTGCCTTCGCTAGGGCTTGCTGAAACTTCGCGAGCTCCGAGAGCTCAACTTGATATCCAATGTCTGGGCGTAATCGCGCAATGAATTCCTCAAGCATGCGCTCTTGCTGCGGGTCTTGCACAGGGGTTGGCCGCGCGTATTAACTGGAAAATCCTATTCGCGAAGCACGCTGCCGTTTCCCCGGGGACCTTTTGCAAACCGACAGCGATCTACGCGCTAAATTACGCAGATGCGGACCGTCATAGTAATTGGCGAGGTGTGCGACTACAGTGTCGTAGTCCTGGCGCTGCTCGGCGTTCAGCTCGTCGATTTTATCGCGCACAGTCCCATCGAGACAGCCTATGAGGTAGTATGCTTTGAGTTTTGGCGTAAGCGCGACCGTACGCATGTTTTGTACGTCTTCAAAGCAACGCAGCCAAACCGCGAAAGGACTTGGATCAGTGTTTGCCCCCGTGAAATAAGGGACGTCCGGCAAGCGCATCCCCTCCGGAACGTGAGGGGCTGTAGGGAGTTGGTCGATGACCCACAGTAGTGATTGATTCGTTGAAGCCGTTTAACAAAGACTGATGCGTGTCTCCCTGCTTTGCTAAGGCGGACGTCGACGCTCTGGAGTCCTTCTAAGCCTCACTAATCGCCTGGGCGGTGGCGTCGCGTAGCATCTTGGCGTCACGTCCAAGCACGAATACGTCGTCGCTCACATCGGATAACGAGGCCGTAACCGCACTGGCAAAGTTGCCAGAAGCTTTTGACGATGTCGGAGACTCTGCCCTAGGATTGTACGTACGAGCACGAGTAGTCGGAGGACCCATACGATCTGAAAGAAATAAATTTCAGATGTCTATGTCAGGCGCTGGAAGAAATCGGAATTGGTGTCAACGCGAACGAAGAGACAAGGGATGCTTGTGGAGGCTTGAGAGCCTGGATCAGAGAGGACTAAACCGGCGCTCGATGGGAACGATTGAGATTGATATGAAGTGTGGAGTCTCCGGCTGGAGGCGAAGCCTTGGGTGAAAAACCACAAGTATGCGAAGATTGCCGCCAGCTGCAGGCTATCCGCGCGAAGGGCAGATGGTCAACTTTTTGTGCCGAATGCATGTCTCATGGCGTGAGCGCCAAAAGGCAAAGAAACCCTTAGCTACTTCAGTTGCGGAAATAGGTTTTCTTTTGCGCAAGTGATGGTTACTCTTAGTGAATAAGGCAAACGTTCTTGAGGTGATCTATAATACTAACAATAGACTAGAACGTCTGTATCGAGGTCTTTTTGTAATTCGGCACGGGAATGGGGCGAGCATCAGTGTACCTGCGTTGTGCTACCCTTGTGGTATGGCCTCGTTGGATTTCAGAGGAATTGACGATTTAGTGCAAGTACGGAATGCAACTAGAATATGAATTCTGTTTGTTCATGTTGTAGCTAACTGATGTGTTTTGATGATATTTGATGACGATTGGTTCAACAGACGCACTCGGCGCACCCGGAAGACTATGGAGTTTATCTGTGCAAAAATTAAGAGAGTGGAGGTTAGATTTCGGTGTGTAACTAGGTGAATTGGCTGAAAGTCGCAAACGGGGCATAATTGTCCTTCCTGGTATCGTAAGCCAGGAGAATATTAGTACTACAAGTGAAATCGGAGGAGCTAAAAGATTGCCTGCCCGGGCATTCATATAGGGATCTTTGGATCTTGATGAACTGTACCGCCGCCGTTTTTGGTCCCTAATCTCCTCCGCACACACTCAGATAATCGCCGGGGCAAGCGATGCGCAAACTCGTGCTTTTCCGCTTTTCTGCAAGCGGTCAACAGAATTTTGGGGCATGGCCAAACCTTCAGCGGGCGGCACTTCCTTTACGGTCGCATATTCTGCCAGCGGGCAGCAATACAGAATTTTCTGCAGGCGCTCGTCAAATAATCTCTTTCAGCAAACGCTGGCCGAACTTTCAGCAGCCGCTAGGACTCTTTTTACGCAGTTTCGGCTTACGTCGAACCAGGTAAGAATCTGTGTGGCAGAGGCGTCACCGTTGGTTCAATTACTCAAGTTTGAGGTACTTTCTCTCAGCGGAAAGTACCCCGTGGCTGCGCGGTCCTCCACAAAGAACCGTGCGGCCCTTTGAAAATATTTTTTTGAAAATTTTGCTTCTCGCGGAAAGTCCGTGAGAATGCGGCCACAGCGCCGCAGCTAATCTATAAGGAAACCGCGATTGTTCTCCAAGCATTCGTTTGAAATTTCGCTTAAATTCTTCCAAATGTCTGCAAGCGACCGCTAGAAATCAGCGAACTATACTATTCCGGTGCCCGCCCGCCCATACATCGCATGGCCGCCTGCCCTCGGCGATTATCTGAACAATGCACGACGTCAAGGCTCTAAGTCAAATCGCGGTAGTCCCCTCAAAAATATGCAGCTCACTCATAACATTCAAAACTGAGACCTTGGGCGCTACACTGGTTTTACACAACTTGGACCCAACACCATTTCGGCGCATTTCGAATTTGGCGGCACTAAAAAGGACCATGTACTGCAGACGTCTGCGCGATACCACGCCGAGCAAAAGCAGCTAGCACACAATAAATTGAAAGACTAGGCGAACACAACAGGGAGTGAAGTAGAGCACTATCGATGTGAAGTTGCGTTTGAAGCTCACCTGGGTAGCCGTCCGTCCACATCGGTATTCCAGCTCGCTGCTACCAGTAAGAGCAGCGCCCGCAGAGAGGATACGTAATAAGGTGGAAAGCTTTGTTAGATCTTGAGACAGCCGGCGCTATATGTATACACTGTATCACCATGCCATTCGCGGAGTCAGGTGTCGTAGTTGACGGGGCAACAGCAACCAGAGGTGAGTTCCTCCCTGCTTCCTAGTCTCTCCTCGAGTCCATCACTTCCGAACACACCTCAATTAGATGACTCAGGACCGTGAAAGAAACGGAGTATGACATCGCATGCCGTTACACTGTTGGCTACTCTTTGGAACGTACCAGGAGCGCTTTTCAGATCTTGAGCCATTACAGTGAAGTGGAACAGACCTAGGAATGATGAAAACGGGGTCCGCTCTCTATGTTTTGGTTCAAGGGGTGCTTGAAAAAAATCACTGAAGTACAATACGCTATAAACTGTCAAGTTAACGTGTTAATTACTCTTGCAACTTGATCCCTCTACCCTTAGTTCTGACAAATCTTTATCATTATATCATAATTGTGGAGGAACATAATTAAGGAGGAAACCACCGAGCACCCGCGGAGTGCCAGCTCATCTGGGCCCATAGTAATCCACCCTACCTGACGGCATCTCATGCCCTGAGGTCGCCCTGATGTGGACTTGAGGTCCTTAAAACCTCAAACTGCCTCCGGGAATCCCCAAACCAGGCTGATCATCTATTTTTTATGTTACCCTGCCGGCAGGTTCACGATCTATTTTTGTCGAAATTTGAGATACCATCTAGCTCCTCACAGCCTGCCGGCAGGTCAGAGAGTGCAGGAAACAGTGCGTAGTTTGTGGAGTGCGACCTGCCGACATGTGGACGTGCCTCTGCCACGTCCAGATGCCGGCATCTTTGCCGACGGCGTCTGTGAAATCGCGTTGCGCGGCAATATCACACAATTTACGTCAGGCAGAAGAAAAATTCATTTTCTAAAAAAACCATGATTTTTGCCACTATATGGGTTTTTCCTTGTTTAAATTCTTGATATATCTGTAGGAAAAATAAATGGTTATATCATATAACCAAAATAAGCGCCATCTTCTTCTTGCAATTCCTTTAAATCTTGTTTGCAACGCTTTCGCCTGCCTCTTGCTCTTATCAATCAGCTGTTCTTTCAAGTCAATGTCTATCACGCAATGTATTGATCCTGCGCTCTCACAGGCGCAACTTTTCTGTGCGTTTTTGTCAGTGTTGCCGCACACAGTCAAAAACTGACCGTGTGGTTCAATGGTTAGTGCAGCGGCGCTCAAACTTGACGCATGCAGGTTCGAACGCGCTTGATGTTAGTGCTTTGCGGCTGCCTGCGTTATCAAAATTTCACGTGCATATGACAGCGGAGTACGGGATTTTGAAATTATCAAAACCTACGAACGATCAATGCGAGTAAGACGTCAATCTCGAGAAGTACAAAAAAGGAGAGAAAAACTTATTAAAAAGCGAGAATTCTAAGGCAAGGTTTAGCTTGCGCCCGAAACACGAACATGCCGCGAGGTTCGCGAACTTGCCGACATCTTTGATGCCACCTGGTAGGGTAGATTACTACGGGCCCTGGAGTTACTGGGCACCGCATAGTTGGCGTGGGGAACGTCGGACCATCTAATTAGTCTGCGTCTCGACACGCCTTGTAATTCGACTGCTTGCGAGCGCGAATTGCCGGCGTTACAGGCGTCCCTATTCTTCATTTGCAGGTTTTACCGCACTTTCTCGGCACTGCAAGCACACTACATTGAGCGGAGAATCTATTCGACTGTATGTCGCCAAAAGGAGTGGTCCGTGGACACATGCAACAGACCTTGCAGCCATACATATTACACAAATCATCACTGATTTGTATCAGTTGTCCGCGTGGGGTGGAACCTGTTGACGTATTTAGTCCTACCTATACCTATTCGATTCTGCAAGACTTCACGCAAACCTCGCAGTGTGAACACTGTCATTGAGAAAGCCGTCGAGCCGTGTGCATCTGCAGCAGCACCGAAATTCGCCTCATTGTAAGTTATATCTGCCTAGACTTCTTCGACTTTATCCATTTCGCCTCCCTTAGAACAAAAGATGCGCGCTATTCCACATTAGTTGACCCAAAAAAATGAAAGCCGCGGATTTGCTGAAACTTCGTCTACAGGGGTTATTTCGCACCTTCATCACCGATACAACACCTCAGACACTGGGACCGGCCGAGCCGCGGCCCATTTCCGGCTGGAATTTCGCAGCGTCCGCGGACCAGCCGGTGAATGGTCCGCGGCTCAGCCGAAAAACGGCCTCGGCTCAGCCGGAAAACGGCCGCGGCTCAGCCGGAGCTGGTTGTCGGGCCATCTAGTTCATTCTAGCTCGGATACAAAACGACTGTTTTTTTTTTATTCACTGGCACGTAAAATATACGGTGTGAAAAACAAAGATTAAAGCCACAGACATGGCCGCTTCGGAGACCATGTCCGGCTTCAGAGTTGGACAACACAGGGTGCTACCCAGGATACCGGTCTTGTTTCTGCCTTGGAAACTGGAAAGACAACGGAGGCTATGGACACTGAGGGCAGCCTGACCATGCGTCGTACATCACGCAAGTGTTCTTTACGCTCAGATAATAGGACCGGCCGAGCCGAAAATGGGCCGCGGCTCAGCCGGTGTTTCGTAATAGAGATTTTGGTCCGCGGCTCAGCCGGTGCAATCATATCGACATGAATTAAGGTCCGCGGCTGGGCCGGTAAGCCATATTCGGTCCGCGGCTGGGCCGGTGAGCCATATTCAGTCCGCGGATCAGCCGGTGCAATCATATCGACATGAATTAAGGTCCGCGGCTGGGCCGGTCTTCGGCCACGCCCCCAAATTAAGGCCGCGGACGGGCCGGAAAGGCCTTTTGAGGCCGCGGCTCAGCCGGTCCCAGTGTTTGAGACGGTAGTGAAATCTAGTGTAGTTACGGTAGGATTACAGTAGGGGCTCACAATCACACAGAACAGATTTCGCAGTCGTTGCACCCGTTTGCCACAGTACCCCCCTAGCGCGCCAACAGGGTGTTCGTGGCGGGACCAGCGTACCTGCGAACTTCAAAATGAACCTAGTGCAGAAGCAGTTCTTGTCCGAGGTTTTGGGCGTACAAGAACTACAAGGACATCAAAAGATGAGCAGTT